GGGGGTGCTGCCACTAAATGGGTTAATGTACGTTATTTATACACATAGTTAATTCAATTATTTTATCATATTTTCATGCAACATTTTTCTTTTCAGGTTCTAGGGCTTAATGGCTATGAACAATTGCTTGAGGTTTCGTCGAGTATGCTGACCAATAAAGTTCTACAGCTCCTCGGTCTGAAATACAATGTTCAGTCGAAGTCTGCTGTAAAAAAGAAGTTATTTCAATAGTCCGTATTTTGAGAAGTATTATACAGGAAGTCTGCATCCATTTACATTGCACATATGGATACATTTACCTGCTAGTAGTAAAGTGTTAAAGGACCGACTTTTTCTGGTGGGCAGGTGTGAACCAAATATTTTTTGTATAGAATAGTATGGGGAGTTACTAAAAGTAGATTTGCAGTGTCAGCAAAATTGTGATTTTGGAGGGGGGAGCAACGAAATTGGGTGTGGTCCCTTTGGTTGTGATGTCGGGCCGGTAGCCGTGCGGGGGTTGGGGAGAGCTGAGTCAATTGAATCAAAGCAAGGGAGACAAAGCTAAGAGGATGGCTGAGGCTAAGGTGTTATTCGAGGGAAGTGCTTGTAGCTTCGCATATAATGATGACCCCGAGTGGTTTTATGATGAAGATGATGACTTTGTTCTTGATGGTGATTATATATATTGTGAAGGCCTTTGAGGAAGGATTGAAAGAGAAAGAGTTAATGAACGGTGGTTATAAACAATTAGCTGAACCAGTGGAATTGACTGTTGAGAAAAAGCGTCCCAGTCTGGAGGTGTCTTTGGCCTTGGCTACGATCTATGTGTTTATGGATATGAAAGGGTTGAGCATGGGGGAATGTGTTTTGTTTCACATCACATGTGATGAACACTTATCACTAACACGATTATGCAGGTTTATATAGATTGTTAGGTGAGGCTCAGATTGTTGAGGGTTACAAAAAGTGTCATAACAAGTGATTGTAATATTTGACTGTTAAATTTTTAGTTATTTTCATTTATTTGTTAGTGTTTTTTATATGGCACCGTCAATGTTTGTGTGTTTGTTGTGTTTGTGGTCCTTTTCGACTTTGGTTTTGAGGGTTTCTAAGGCGTTGTTGAATTTTTCTGAGTTTGGGCTTCTTCCAGGTTTTGGAGGTTAATTTTATAAAACGTGTGCACAAAATAGTTTTGTATGGCTTAAAAGGTGCCACAGAATGTCTACCACAGGATCATAAAGACAGAGAGTTAAAAGGTAGGCCCATACACGCAGCTATGGACACACCAGCCACGTCTCTATCCAAATATCTAGCCAAAGCTTTACAACCACTTCTTGAACATGTTCCCGCCAATCTTAGAAACACTAAAACTGTCTGTACCAGTGTAGGTAGTACCAATGTGAAAATGCTGTGCTGAGTGGTTATATTACTACCTTAAAAAAAACAAGCAGAAACTCGACGTTTCAAGCGAAGGCTCTTTGTCAAAAGTTAGTAGCCACTTCGTCAAGAGTTAGTAGCCACAAAGGGCCTTTGCTCGAAACATTGAGTTTCTGCTTGTTTTTTAAGGTAGTAATATAACCACTCAGCACAGCATGAATTTTGTATTCTTTCATGTTTGCAACTTATATGGGTCAATTTCACTAGAACTTGAACGACGATACCCCCAGCGTTTTTATGGGTTGCTATGTGTTTTTTCTCAAAGCACAAATCTTACTGTGAACTTTGTGACTTGAGTAACCATGATTTCGAACAGCTTATTAGATTGTCCTTCACTAGCAACAATGTATTGATTGGTAGTAAAGCTTATAAACAGCGATCGGGCTTAGCTTAGCGATGGGAAATAATTTGGCTCCCGTATTAGCTATAATATACATGAGAGAACTAGATGATAAAATTCTGGCAAAATCTAATTGATGTGCGCGCAACCCTGAAACGCTACATGGACGATTATTTTGCTTTCCTGATATCCAAAGAGTTCACGGCCTAACAACTTATAGCTTAAACAACGCCATCCAATTTACGCTTGAGTTACCCGGAGATAATCAATTACCTTTTTTGGATACCTTAGTTATGTTTAATCCCCAGGAAAAAACATTTTCTACCACTCTGTACATAAAACCCATCCATAGTCTATGTATCACACCCTGGGATAGTCATGGTTCGGTGGCATCTAAACGAGCAGTTTTGATAGGTGAAATAAAGAGGGCAGTTAGATGCTCTAGCGATTGTGCTACTCAAAAACAATCATTGAAGCAAATCACATAATTGTTTGTGCACAATGGTTACCTTACTAAATTTGCCAAAGGAGTTAGAAGAATATAGTAAATGACGGGCCTTGGGAGTGTTAAACTGATCGCATATAAAGAATGTTAAAATACACTTTGTGAATGGCAAATCATTATCAAAAGTTTTTGGCCCACCTAAGAATAAACAAAACCCCCGCACCTGCAAAACATGCAAATTAGCCACCAAACCGAATCGCTGCTTGATGAAGAATGTTGTTTATGAAATTAAGTGTGTCACGTGCTGAACCATTTACATAGGAGAAACTAGCCGAACAATAGGAACACAGATTAAAGAACATCTAACAATGGAGAAGCAAACGGTGTTTAAGCATTTATCATCCCATAAGAAATGTACAGCTAATAAGATCACTTGGAGGATTCTGCATTCAAATATACAAAATGACAAGGAACGAAGATATATCAAGGCTTCTGAAACACAGAACCAATTATTAACAGTTGTGTTGGGAGAACAATTTGTATATACAGGGTGTCTCAAAAAAAACACCATGGAAATTCAACAGGCTGTTGTGCATCACAAACTTAACTAAACATGGCCAGAAATCGCGGACATTTACTATTGCGCATGCGCGAAAAATTCCCGTCAAAATGGCGACCAAAGCCCTATGTTAAATGTATGAAGAATTTACATATTCAAGAATATATTGTTATTGAAGCTTATTCAAGCATTTGTTGAAATGGAAATAGCATGTGGTCATCTTTACCAAGTCTGTAATCAACATATATTAGCATAAAGTATCACACAGGCTCTGCTTTTTGCAAATAATTCTCAAAAAATTTACCTTATAATGTTATAGGGAAATACCATATTTTTCGGAAGGCCAAGCTTCGAATCCACTTTTCATGAAACTTAGACAACAATCGAAAATTGTTGAAATCGTTTAGCTTTAACGAGAGGTTTCTGCATTTGTTCCGCCATCTTGTATGTTTGGACGATGTATAACAGCTCTGCTTTTTCAATTTATAAATCCATAAAGACCACTGTGTTATAGGAACAGTCATATCTGTTTATTGTTTAACTGAGAGTTTTCGTTCACCAATATATCCCGAGATATAGCGAGTAATATGCCGTGTTTGATACCAAAATATAGAGCGAAAAATGCTCTTTCTCAAGCTGCCACTGTTGCCTAGATACGGCGTGTGTCCACGACTCTATTGATCAGCAAACACCGAGCAACGACACGCGCGGAATAGGCGAGCTGAGACCCCCCACGGAGAGTGATGCGAGTTTTGGAAAATGTCGGATGTCTTGCCAAAGGAAATACTGAAAGCTCTCGAATTTGACAGATTTAAGAACCGTTTTCGTGTAGATACTGATCACTGCCTCACATATGTATGCCGTCAGAGTGTTTCAAACAAGAATATAATCCTCACAGCCCACTTGCCCTACGATTGTGTTCGTGTTTGGTGTCGTGCTCAACAAGCAGCTTTGGCGAAACAGATTCCATGCAGTTTTATTCAGATATTTAATACATTTCTCTACGAAAGAACTGGATTTAAAGTAAGAAATGATTCCCAACTCTTTGAAACACGTCTAAGGACAGCTACAAACATAATCAAAGCAAAATTTGTAGGTAAGAATGGAGCAGCGTTCAGGAAACTTTGCCAAAATGAATTAAGCCTGGCATTACAGATGGAAGATTTGGTGATGCTGTCAGAAGTAGATGCACAGTTAAGTGAGCAGAAATTAATAAACAAAGACCTCCAAAAGGAGAAAGATATCCTACAGGAACGGTATGAATCTCTAGTTAAAGATTTGGAGGAAAATCAGGAAGCTGAGAGAATGGCAAAGACAAAGGTTGGTGATGAAATCCAAGAACTGAAAGAACAGAACCAAAATCTTCAAAATTACATTGAAGGTTTAGGCCAAGATCTGGACTTTTCAAACAGTGGTGGAAAACTGTCCGCAGTTGGTGGGCGACAGCAGCGAAGAAAAATAACCGAGCTAAAGACCAAGGTGGAGAAGGCTTTGTGGTTTGCCAAAACAATTGGATTGGACTTACAATCTGCCATTTTCAAAGATGAGCATGGTGAAAATCACACCTTGATTTACTCTGAAAATGTCAGAAGATCTTATAAAGATTTAACTGAAGCAGATCAACAGAAAGTCAAGAATGTTTTATTTATCCTTGATAAATTCTGTATTGGCGATGAAGCATACCATGAGTTATCCATGGTTGATGGGAATGAGGAGTTGCCGCGATCCTATTTGATCAAGCAGTGCAAAGATGAGCTGAATAAGCTGTGCCACATTACACGAACACCCGGTTCAGCACAAGGAGCACAACTCGATTTTCTGGCGGAATTGGAATCAGTTATCCAAAACCAGGTATGTTTTATAATAGATTTGTTTGTGGAAACACCACATAAATTTATTACTCCAAAGTTTTCGATCCGTAAGCCTAGATGTTCATCAGTGCTAATAATATGTGACTTGTTTAATTCATATATATATATGAAATTGGTTAAACATTTTCTTACAACCAAGGAAAGATGATGTGAGCCTTCCAAGTTGAAGTCTGGCATTATTTACTTTAATCAATAAATGTAATCGGTAACAGTACCCAATCAGGAAGGTCCCTTATAGGTATTTTTAATATTTATATTTTAAATCCTTTATAGATAAATCAGAATATCATCGATATTAATGACCCACAACTGAAACTGCACATCAAGCTGTCTGGTGATGGGGCCAAGATGACCAGGCTAACAAATTTTGTGGTGATTTCATTCGCAGTGTTGAACAACCAAAAAGATGTCATGTCATCCAAAGGTAAATAACGCACTTCCCTAACTGCCAAAGTTGTATATACAATGCACCCTAAGGGCCTGTTCATATGAGCCCGGTTAACCGAGCTGGCCCACTTTGCCGAGCTGGCCCGCTTTACTTTCACATGAGGCGGGCTAGCCCAGCAATCACATCTATTCGTAGTAACGATTTCCCGCAATATTTTAGCAGGAAAATAAAATTTGTGTTTATTTGGCAACATTTTATTTTTGTCGATGGCAACAGCTTCAGGAGGTTTAATTTCGATAAATTCCTATAGTTTTGGACATTTTAGACTGTTTATCAGTGGAATAAAGCACACCAATTTCCAGCCCAGCTTGCCGGGCTAGCCCGGTTGTGCATTCATATGAGCCCGGCAAGCTGTGATCTTGCCTCGCTCAAGCGAGATCCTGGCAAACCGAGCTGACCCGCTTCTCATATGAACCCAATCCTAAATTAATATACAAACAATATGAGGCGGGATCTCGGCACTTGAAAACCAGCCGGGCCAGCCCGGCAGAGCAGGGCTCATATGAACAGCCCCTAAATTGCAGTTCAAAGTAGCTATATGCTACCTTTGTCTAGCCCCCCACCTTTAAGCACATTCCATGGTCCCTGTAGATAGGATTTAATGCATGAATCATGAAAATTATGTTGATCCTGAGAAATATATATTTATATTTTTAATGTTTAATAGGTCACCACACTGTTGCCATTATTAAAGGACAAGAGTCGTATGAATTGTTGGAGAAATCTTGTTCCAAGATATTTAAACAGATCAACATTTTAGTGAAAAACAAGACCGTCACTGTTAATGGCACTAATATTCCAGTAGAAATGTATCTCAGAGGTGATTATAAGGTAAATATAATCCGGGCTGTAGCGAAGAGCCTGAAGCAGGGGGTGTAGCATTGCCCTGAATAAATTCACTTGCCATCAGACAATGGTCACTGGAGTACCTAGGTAGGGGTATAAATAAAAACATTTATCTGACAATGAAAATGTAAACTTACAAAGATGCCCAGCTTTTTGTGGCAAGACAACTTGCCCAATCGAGCAAGCAAGATAAAACATTTACTTGCCCGTCATGATATTCACTTGCCCGGGCAAGCGGGCAAGTGTTAAATTACACCTCTGATTAATGTACCATAATTTATTAAATGTTTCGGTAATTTATCAAAATGTTTGAAAAAACTATCACATATTAATCCCGAGCCATTCAAATATTTTTATTTGATAAATATGTTATTTTGCCAACAAGATGTTTTCAGGGTATGTTACACCCCACACACCCTATAGTGACGGCCCTTGATATAGTCGAAAATAGCAAAATATCTTAATTAAGCAATACACAGTAAGGTTTGTTTTTGTTGTGCTCTAGTTTCTACTGCTCATTCTTGGGATGAAATCAGCCACATCAGATTATGCCTGCATCTGGTGCCTCATTCATAAACTACAGAGGTAAGAATATATAATGGTTACAGAGTAAGACCCATGCAGTTATTCATTGACAAGGGGTTCGTAACACTACTCTTACATTACGACGTCTTCTACTGTACATGGAAAAATGGGTAATTTAGTGCTACTGTGTATGTATGTATGCATGTATGTATGTATGTATGTATATACATACTGAGAAATATATATTAACCTTACTAGGTATGACATGTCGAAGCCTGAAGACTTCTACTGGGGAGATTTGGCGAGAACACTAAGTAATCTTAAAGAGTGGGCTACCAGAAATAAATTCTCTTGTCAACATCAACCACTTATTGATATTGAACTAGAGAATGTTGTTTTGGATAAGCTTCATCTAATGTTGCGCGTTGTGGGTAAGCAACACTTGCAAATTAGTAACCTTTTCTTTGGTGCTTACAGTTAATGAAATTGCTAAATATTCCACTCTCAACTTGTTGGAGCTCCCCTATTTATAGGAAAATGATCTGCCATTTAATTGGTAGAGTGTAATTAACTAATAGACAAACAAGATCAGGCAACAAGGTCAATCAAATTTATTGTTGTGGCCATATGTGGCACCCATTTGACAGAGCATAACAAACATTGATATTTGTCAGGTTTATATTAGAAGTGAAAGGGTTAATTGTTAGTGCTATTATGTTTCTAGACAAATTGATAAAAAATCTGGTCATAGATGCCATAGAATGGGACAAGAAAGAAAACCTGAATAAAGCCCCATCACAAAGATCTGACTACCACTTACAGAGTCTTGTGAAATGCGTATCTAGTTGTGGAGTATCTTTCAATGTGTGGGAAAAGATGGATGCAGATGGGAAAAGATGGATGCAGATGGCAAAGGGAGCGGACTTCATGATTTTACAAGTTTAATGGGATCTGACAAGAAAGTACTGCTTAAAGCTTTGCCAGATAAGCTACCTGGAGTGATCAGACCACAATCAAGTGAGACTGTAGTCAAAATTTGGAAGGTATAAATAATTACAACTTACTATGTGTATTCAGTACCCACCTTACCCCTTCAGTACCCACCTTACCCCATCAGTATCGTTACACCTTACCCCCATCAGTATCATGACACTTTTCTTATTTTATCAAGGATTTTGATGAAATTTATCAGTTATTGGGATGCCCAAGCCCTACCGAAGAGCAAATTACGGGCTACTTTACAAAGGTAATGCTATAAATGCTTCTGGGGTTTTTCCTGTACAAATGCAATACATTAATGTTGTCAATTCATCTCTCCTCCATGTTTTAGAATCCAACAAGTATCGTTTAGCTTTTAATGTTGCATTATTTGAAACTTTGCATTTATTTGCCATTAACTGGCAATGTGCCCAAATGTGCTCTACTTTGGTATTTACTCAGTCTAATTGCCAGACCATTTTACTTGTCAGTGGTAGCATACTGCCAGCAGTGGCGTAGCCAGCCCGTCAATTTGGTCATGCTATGCAAATTTGAAATCATTCATTTCTAAAGAAATTCATTGTTTTCACGGTCTATGAACACGGAAATATTTGCATAGCATGACCAAATTGTCGGGCTGGCTACGCCACTGACTTGGCGTAAATGGATTAACTAACCAATTTTAATTAACCCATTAACTGGCAATGTGCCTTATTTTAGTATTTACTCTGTCTACTTGTCAGTGGTAGAGTACTGCCAGTAAATGGGTTAAAGTAGTGTTTTCTTTCTAGGCTGTTAATTGGGTCGAACTGTTCCTTTCTCTCGGTGGCAAATGTATGGGATATGAGAAAGCACAAATTACACCATATATCCACGCCATTGTGTACCATGTTCCAAAGTTCATGCGTATACACAATGGAATTAAAAAGTTCACTGGCCAAGGTAAGGATGGCACAAGAAAAAGTGCAGAGACGGATTTTCATATTTTCGTTCGGGGGGGGATAAATATCTCGGGGGGATAAATATCTCGGGGGTGCTGCTGCTTGCTTTGGCCAGGGCGTGGTGGCAACGCCCGGAAAGGCCAAGGAAAAGGTTTAACAAAATTTGCTTTCTAGGCCTGCATGGCGAGATCTGAGACCATAATATTGGTAATTTTACAAATTTAGTAGTAAGAATAATCAAATATGAAACTATCAAATCAAAATATATATAATTTTTTGGGTGTGTGTGTGCAAATCATTTCTGGGGGGTGCACCCAGCACCCCCCCCCCCCCGAAAATCCGTGCCTGAAAAAGTGTATTTACTAATATAAAATAAAACACTTCCAAATATTGCCTTTTATAGGTGTTGAAAAACTTAACAATGACTGCAGGCGAGTCCACTTGCAGCGATCAAACAAGTGGGATGCAGCTAAAGATGTCCTTTTGGTTGGAAAACGCATCGAACATCTTGCAGAATGTAAGAGAACACCAAGAAGCTACAAAAAGCAAAATTCAAGTTACTGGGAAACAGGTATTAAAGATACACGTTCAAAGCGAGTGCGAATTTCTTGTGAGGAAGTTGCTGATTCCCAAGAGCCCTTAGATATTGATGTGGATACCATCTCAGTTCAAGAGATTAAAGAGTTGCTTAAAGAAAGAGGAGTCAAAACAAGATTCAGGTGCCTTAAGAAATTGAAAAAACAACTTATTGAATCTCTCCGAAATAAGGAAAATGAGGCACCAAACTCACAACAATGACTGAACTGCATTTATTTGGTGATATTTACAGGTGGTGAACACTGTAGAGCAGCCTAACTTTGCAAAAACTGGTAATCATTCAGCTAGGCTATAGAATTTGTGTAAAATATTTTTAAATGATAAACTACAGAATATTTATTCATATACTGTTCATAAAATACAAATATTATTTACAAAACATTTACAAACCCTCTGTACTTCAGAATGTTTCAAGCAAACAACAATATTTCATATTAAATTTATAAACACACTGGTCCCGATATTTTTATATTCAAAATGCCAGTTATCTACTGGAGGACCATCAAAAACTTGTAATTAATAATTAAAATCAGATATAAACTTAATAAAAAATATTATGTTGCTCGTTCTCTGGCTAGGTAACATACATTATGAAATACTGTCTGTATTACATGCCCTCCGGATTATTGTTAAGCAAACTTTCTCAATGGGGAACCTGGCCGCCTTCACTAATTTACCACCTTTTTGGGTAAATTTTTGTGGTGACCATGACAACACTGGTCTTGCCATGAAAGGGAAGTCCACAGCAACTCCTTCACCATCCTGATTGATGTAGTACCACCAATCCTCTGGCAAATACTTAAATCTGGCCAGTTGATCCTTTTCGAAAAGATGATTGCCACGATGTTCCGAGGCTACTCCTTTACCACAGGTGACAAATCTCCAAACATCCAGACTCATGTTTATGTATACTGGAGATGAACATGGACTTTTTAAAGCGCTTGTCACTAAGCGCTTGTCACTCTTCTTCTAATTGACCATCTGTAATTGGTGGTTTGTCATAGTTCCTGTATAAAGATAAAGTTACTGTTACACACTCAAAAAAAACAGCAAACAGGTGTACACGTGTATTCTAAAAACAATCGATGAGTGGAGGTTCAATCTGAGCTTCAAGTAAGTGTAAATTTTTGAATAGCTGGAGGGTTAGTAGTCACATAGTACGGTACGGCACTAACCCTCCAGCTAGTTAAAAACAGCATTGACAGTCAAGGGAAGCTCAGATTGGACCTCCACTCATTGAGTGTGAGTGAGCTTTTATAATACAAGCATTAATGTCACACTGGGTAAACATCAAGATTTTTGTGGCATCTCACTTGAATATATAATATTTGATGGTTATTGTAGATGGAAATTGTTGAGTGGAAATTTTGTATACATTTATAATAGACCCAACCAGGAACAGAAGCGAAAAATGCAACTTTTTGCTTCTGTTGCTGGTTAGGTCCACTGAGCTATACTTATATATCTGGAGATCGTGCTCTCGACGAAAGTGTGTGGCCAAAAACATGGCGGATTTGACGTCACAATCGACCTATTTTCATGGCAGTTTCCACTGACCCATGGCTCAAATGTCTGTGGGCGACAAAATTCAACCCCCCCTGATTTTACAGTGATTTATCATTTATGTACTGTTGTTTGTATTAGTTGATCGACGATGGAGTGTATTTTGATTTTCGTCCTTTTGAAAATACAGTATTATTCTAACTGCGCGTATAAATCAATAAAGACCGAAAGCCATTAATAAAAAAAGACATGAATGGAGCTTGACGGCCACAAGAACAAAGCATGTAAGTCATTGAAATGATTTATCAATTCTTGTTGTATTGTGAATTTGTGTTGCAACTGACTATCAAGATTATTCTTTAAAACACGAGTATTATAACAATCCCCAGCAAGTAAAATTAAGCAAATATATCTTGTTGAAAACCGTACTGCTATAAATTTCCCTGAGTGACAAAGGTTTTTTTAGAGATTTTAATACCAGTTTATTCTATTAGTAAATTGTGGGGAAAAGCAACTCTTTGGAATATAAAGCACTTATATCACCATTAAAGTTTTTTACACCTGTATGTATTCCTCTTTCAGGTATGAATTTATCAAGAAAATATGGGATATCTGTACTAAGTACCAGGTGGCAATGAAGAAAGTCAAGTGTATTTCTTTATAATGGTCTTCCTTGTAAAAGGCAATGGCACTATTTCATTGAACATTCAAGGAACAATCGCCTTTTAAAACAAATATGCACATTTTTATGCTCGAGTTACAATGTTTGATTTTGATATCTGCATTTTATGCGATTCATACCTTATTTTTAAGTGTTCCTCAAATATTGATTCAATACATTACCTCGGGCTGACCAATTCATTCCATCAAGATATTTGCTGTGTTGGTGTAATACATGTACTCAGGTGAATAAGATGCTTGTGTGATGTTACGTACTCTGAGTGGATATCCACACTGGGCAGGCTTGAAAAATATGCCTGGCCACAGTGGGATTTGAACCTACAACCTTTGGAATACTGGCCCAATGCTCTGCCAACTGAGCTAGACAGTCGGGGCAGTTCGAGTATGCGATATTTCGGAACTGAGTATAGTTCCTTCGATATCAATGTAATCTAATAACCATGATATTTGTGAATATGATGCTTGTGTGATGTTACTCTGAGTGCATATCCACACCTTGAAAAATATGCCAAGCCACAGTGGGATTCAAACCGACCTGACCGCGTAGCTCAGTTGACAGAGCATTGGCATTTGGGCTAGTATTCCAAAGGTTGTAGGTTCAAATCCCACTGTGGCCAGGCATATTTTTCAAGCCTGCCTGGTGTGGATATACACTCAGAGTAACATCACACAAGCATCTCATTTCATCAAGTTCCTCCAGATATTCATACATTTCCTGTGAAAGAGCCAATTCCAAGTATTTAATCATTTCTGGTCACTTCCTTTCTATTTATGATTGGTTAGTTGCACAAACAACAAAGGTGATTGGTGCATTCAAACCATTCAACAGGAAGTTTACAATTATACTAGGAAGTGTATGAATATCTTGAGGAACTTAATCAAATGAATTGGTTAGCCCGAGGTAATGTATTGAATCAATATTTGAGGAACACTTCAATTGGAACGACAGTGAAGAATTATTAAAAAAAATATTTTATTCAAAAAAAGATTTTCCAAGATAATTATATAATTACATTTAGTAATAAGAATAAATAATATATTCAATTTCAAATCACAACAAAATTTATTCTTTATTTTTAAACACATACAACACCAATTTAATTAAATAAACTGCTCAACCAATTCTATGCATGTCAATCCCTACTTGATGGTCAGCACCTACAGTAATTATGCTAGCCTAATTTGTACACTAACACAAATGGTCAAAATAAATGTAAATGTAGCAATCTTGGCTTAGCTAAACAGACCAAAATGTGTACAAATAACTTAAAGTTGTTAGCAGAAAAATTAAGGAATAAATTTAACCCATTGAGTGGCGAAGCACCCTATTTTAGTATTTTACTCTGTCTAACGCCAGACAATTTTACTCGTCAAGGGGAGAGCACTGGCGCTTAATGGGTTAATTACCCCTCATGTACAGTATGACCATTAATTGTATTGATAATAAACTGTAAAGATCACAACCAAGCTGACCAAAGCAATCATTAAAGATTGTTGGCACAGCATATGGCTTTAACACTGGTCTCTGGCTGTAATCCTCCTCAAAGATATCAGCACTAAAATGCTTTGAACACAAACGACTATTTTTCATAGGAACAAACTTCACTGGCATAAGTTTGCTTATATTCTTCACCCATATGCTGTGCAATTCAGGGAATCTCTTCTCATCTGGAAAGCTTTGAAGTAAATGAACAATTGTTTTTAGTGTCTAGTATTGATACACTGTTCAATACGATACCTATAACTTACAATATAAACAATGCCACACTAGACAACAGTCACAACACATGGTTTAGTCCACAATAAAGACAATACAATGAGTGAAAGGCTTTGTACATTTAAAGCTAGTCGTATCTTTATCACATTGTTAAAATTCTCATTTGAAATTTTTTAACATAGCATTATCTGTTAGGATATCGATAGGATTTCATCACTGCATCACATCCATCAACTTGCATGAAAATAAATACTTGCTCGACAACAGCTCCACAAGCTTGTCAACATTTTAAAATTTTGTTCTGCTTTTGCACTGTAGTACACTATTAACATAAATTGTATTGTATGTTGCTTGCCAATAAATTTCATGAATTCACAAATTTACGCATTCAATACAGCAATACAGCATGCGTTAAATTATTACAAAAAAAAGAGATTATACGAGCCTTACGCATGTGAGGACAGGTCCTTTCTTTCAGTAGATTTTTGGCAACCAGGAATTGAACAAAAAGTTGGCATGGTTGCAAATGTCTCGTTTCAGTATAGAAATTTCCGACCGAAATTTTGAATTTACTATTTTACTTCCTTCTGTTTTAAGCAAATTGAAAGGGGGGTGTGAATAACTTTTTTCTTCAAGTTTGTATTTTAGGTCAGTGGTGTTCACCATAAATTTAGGTCGATTGTGACCATAGCTATGATTGTGACGTCAAAATGACGTAAATTTGGCCAAAATCCGCCATGTTTTTGGCCACACATTTTTGACTGACGAGCACTCGAGCACTATTGGAGCCATATGATTGGAGCACGATCTCCAGATATAATAGTGAGCTTAAGCAAGTGACGTTTTTGACAACACGGACGTCGAGCGAAAGTAAAATTGACGTTTTTCACCAATCACAGCCACTGAGCTATAATATTACTGGAGGAGGTGCTCCTATCTCTCGTCAGTCAAAAAAGTGTCGCCAAAAACATGGCGGATTTTCATGTTTGCTGACGCCAATTGGTTCCTCCGGCTCATGGCAATTACCACTGACCAACCGCGATCCTACGCTTGAAATAAAATCCTTCACCCCCCCTGGTTTTTGCACAAATTTTGATCATAATTTTCGAGTTTCGACTGAAAATCTTGATATTTTTGCAGTCGAGGAAAAAGTGTGTTAGTTTTAAGTTTATAGTCTGCTTGTAGATGAAACAATTCACTCGAGAGGATTATTATATTTCTTGTTTTCAGGTAAGATTCACGAAAGTTTTATTTCTTTTACTTTTTTTAAATTCTAGCTTACCAAAGCTTGGGCTGCTTGGGGCAAATTTGGCTTGCCATTTCGATGGAAAAGCATAAATACATTATGTCAAAAACTACAGTTATAAACAGCAAATGTGTAAATGTAATATTGCTAATTTCAACAATATCACAGTAGTTTTGTATCCTCGTTTTTGTTGTTCTTTATATTCAAACTCATTCTCATACTGTAATTTTGTCTCATATCTTGGGTTCAAAATCATTTTCCCGACTTGTTTTGTTTTATATACTTTGAAATAATGAATTGGTTTTAACTTTTAACTGTTAACTACCAAGTTTTTGTAGCAGTGTTTATTTAGGATGCATGTGCACAACCTATACCTTTTCAGTATATAGCCTGCCAGTTGCCACTCTGGCACTTTCAAAAAATTCAGCATTTAAACCTTTATTATAAGTGATTAATTAAGGGGCACTGTGCCCTACTTTGTTGTCTTAGTCCAATACCAGATAATTTTACTTGTTAAGGGGAAAGTGCTGGTGCACTCAATTGCTTAATAATTTTAAGTCATATTAAACATCATTTTTTTATTTGTATCACCCCCCCCCCCCTTGGATATTCCAGCACATTTTACTTGTGGATCCCCCCTCTACACTGTCACAGCTGTAACTTGTAGTACAGGCTGTGGGAGTCTGAATCTTTTCTGTTATTCATGTAATGACCCAATATAGTTCAAGTGCCCTCACAAATCCAATGGAATTTGCTTATCCTGAGGCTGATGCTCAAGCATGAACAAGAAAAATACAAATAAGGTGTTTGAATGCAAGGGCTGTTGCAGAAATAACTTTATTTGATCATTTCCATTACACAATAGCATGTTTATTATATACAAAGAGTGTCAAAGACCATATTCTTCACACTAGAACATCTATTACATAATTATATTGCAGTGTAAGGGTGTATCTTAATGTATAATGTTACATTCTGATATTCTGTCATTCATTTTGCAGGTAAAATCATTCACAGGTACCACAAGACATATCACAATGGATCAAAATGCTGAACAGCCAAAGCAAAATCATACCCATCTGGCTACAAAGTCATAATAATAACTTTGTCTTGATAGTTTTATCACTGCTAACAAAATTAATTATTTCTAATAAATGATAATTCATTATTCTTTAAAAAGAGGTTGAACTATGAACGTCTCACCATCAAATAATTCTGCAATTAGACCAAAAAGAGATTATATAATTAAAATATTGTAAAATAAAGTTTTCACTACAGACAAAAGAGTAAGAAAGTGAAGAGAGGAAATGAGAAAAGCATGCTTTTTAAAAGCTACCACACTATTTAAAGGCTTGAATGTATCATGCAACTACCTGAAAAATAATATTATAGGTCTTTCACCTGAAATGTTGAAGTTCATTGATTTCTTAGTTTCAGGTAGTTGCATCTGATACAGGGGTGCACCGAAAGATGACTGAAATGAACAAAACACTAAATAAATCCACCTGCATGGACTGGAAGTGACATTATCTACCAATTAAATTGTTTCTGACTTGATGTCTGACTAGCATGTGTGACTTTCTCAGTTCTGGCCTGTATAATGAGATCCAGTGCAACCCTATAAAGCCTATAATCTAGATACTTTGCTTAACACCTACACTTGTGATTGGTAGCCAACATTCAAGAAGTACAATCTTATTTCTAGTGGTTCAAGAATCCTAAATCCAACATGTCATATTAGTCAGAAATCTAGGTAGAAATCATGTTACCAGATAAGTTTCCCACAGTATCCTGAGCTTCTGGTACCCCTAGGCTAGCTTCTACTGGCACCCTAGATTATGCATACTATAATAACCACAGACTCTAGTATATATAAACACAAAGAATATAGATAGAAGCACATTGTTTCAAGCATGTCAGATTTCAGTCATCAGTCTATATAGAAAACCCAAAGGATTTGAGGGAAAAAACTGATTCAACTGAATTAAATAAAGCAAAATTTGTTTATTTAACAAAAACTATGGCCAGCCAACAATTTAACAAAGCTAGTATAAAAGTGAAAAAAAACCCAAAAAAAAAACAACTTTGAATATAAAAAGAAAGTTTCTGTATTTTTTACGACAAAGTTTGAATACAAGGGGGGAAATAATACGTTATACTATACAAATAGCCTGTTATCTAATGGATTATATTCTATCATTTACTCCCACTATCTTTTAAAAATTAAAAATAAAAGCATATCAATAGTAAATTGTGAAATATTTAATACCTGTTAGCTGTGCCATCAAATATCGCATTTGCCTAACTTTTTCGGGGTTTTCATGTTGGTTTGTTGTCTTTCGCGGGTGAGAATAGCGTGCACGACTTTT